CTTCCCAGATCCCCAACCGCAGCAGGAGTTTCAGGGGGTAGAGGCAGTCAGTCTCTCTCCCCAGCAGCCGCGGACCAACCCAGCGGAAGAGCTGGCATCAGGGCAGAGCACTGCTGGTTTCTGCCCACAAGTCCGTGAAGCTTTTGGCACAGGAGGGGTGGATGGGACCGTGGTCGGGATCCCCAGCCCCCTAGTATGGGAGCCCAAGTCAAGCTGTTTTTGCACTGTCAGCAGAGCCAGTGCCTGGGATATGGTGCCATCCATTTTCCTCCCCAATGGCGCATTATCCTGCAGAGGGGAGAGTTCTGCCCTTCCCGTCCAGCAACAACAGGAGGCCTCCAGAGGAGATTATAACTGTTGCCTTGCCCAGCAAGACCCCGGAGTTATACTTTGGAGCAGGTGGCTTTTTGAGAACGGCCCTTTTTGAGAAAAGATACCAGACTAACATAGACCCAGACCCATTGGAGGTCTGGCTAGTCTCCCCAGGGAGTTCATGTAACTCAAATCGGACACGTGACGGTACGAACACCTACCCACTGGAAGCTGGATCCTGGTCTTGGGTCCAAGGTGGGTGGAGGACGGCGAGACCCCAACCAAGCTGCGGCGGTTCGTGGGGTTTAGGGTGGTTATGGTGTTCCAGTGCAGTGCTGATGGTACTCGCAAGTACTAGGAAGCAGCGACTCCCCAGCGGCAGAGTATGTTATTGGGAGAAGAGACAGTTGGTCTCTCTCCCCAGCGGCAGGGTGAGTTAAAACGCTACTTTTCCTGTGTAGTTAAAAATGATTGTGCCGGCCCTGTATCTAAGCTCATGTTTGGGGGATTGGAGAGCTCTAATCACTACTCTGCTGGAAACCAGAAAGCTATAATCACTGCAGCACTTGGGATTCCAGAGACTACTAATAGATATACTCAGCCGGAGTATAAGGGATCCACTACATGATGCTTCCATTTTGTTCTCTTTTGTCGTTGATGTCTGCATTTTGCCCTTCTGTGGGATGCTTTTTACTAATGATTGAAAGTTAATTACCATAAAGACTGAAATGAAATCTTGGCCAAAAAACATTTCAGGCACCAACACCACTTAAGTGGTTGCATCACCTTTGAAGATCTTGCATAGTTTGCTGCAGTTTGGGAGTGCAAATGAAAGGAGATATGCTTACCTGAAGCTGTCTCCTGCAAGCGCTACCATCTTTGTTCAGCTCCTTCCCTATAGACTAACTGTTGCAATTCACAAGTAGATAGCCTATTTGATGGCTATGGGAACTGACAAAGCTTCACCATGAGACCAAGTATTTCCTACTTTGTATTATGATAGCTTTCGACCGAGTTGGAATTTCAATGAAATTCCAGTGCGGTCAACTTAACATTATAGGCCAAGAAAATAACCTTTGGTTAATGAAGCAATTTTGGTGTATAGATCATGCTTCTGCAGTTTCACTGCTTAAATTTCTGCCATTTAGTAGTTAAATCACTTTGTTTATTCAGCCGTAGTCCTGCATGTGACCTTCACAGTCTCCCAAACACTTCCTGGAAATAGAGATCTTATGCTTAAACTTATTTTATTGCACATTCTGTTTTATTTAGAATTTCTTATCTCCTGCTCTGTTAATAGTCTTTTAGACCCTGCAGATGCTTCCTGAGTGGGATTAAAGTTCAATGTACAGACCAAAAGATATACACTTATCAAGCAAGTTAACATCGGATTAGCCAAACGGGTGGAGCAGAACCTGTTGCAAAAAGAGACCCGTGCGGCGCTGGAAAATGGTGAGTAAAATCACCTTTTTAACCATGGGTATTTTAGACCTATAGTGTTAGAAATACATGTTTGTACCTTTAACTCCTAATTGGCTGAGAATTGAGCAGTGACAATGCAGAGGCATGATATATAGACCAAAAATACTTTATTAACCCCTTAAAACCGGAGTGCGTACTATTATCGGGGGACTCCGGCCATGTGAAAGTGAGGTCCTGTACTTGGCTTAGCCAATGGGAGATTAGCTTGAGATGAGTTGCTGACATCACTCAACCCCAAAGCCAATTACTATCCTCTAATTTCTGCCTTATATTATTATTATTTTCCCTTAGCATTGAAATACTATACAGATATGTTTTTTTAGCAAAACTAAATATATTTGCTATGAGGGCAGGCTCATTGGCTGAATGTGTCATATAATCATTCTAAGCCTATGATCTCTGCCCTGAATGGCCGGCCTTAGCTCAGTGGGAGGGCTTCCGAAAGCAGAGAAAGTGGTGGTTGGCATCTTGTGGGACCCAGGTAAGTTGTCAACTCATTCTTAAAGGATCACCATAGGCACCCAGACCACTTCAGCTTAATGAAGTGGTCTTGGTGCCAGGTCCAGCTAGGGTTAACCCTTTTTTCTATAAACATAGCAGTTTCAGAGAAACTGCTATGTTTATAAATGGGTTAATCCAGCCTCCAGTGGCTGTCTCTTGTGAAAAATCACAGTGAGAAGACGCCAGCGTCCATAGGAAAGCATTGAGATGCTTTCCTATGGACTGGCTGAATGCGCATTCAGCCGAAGAGGAGGAGAAGAGGGAGGAGAGGAGGAGGAGAGCTCCCCGCCCGGTGCTGGAGAAAGAGGTAAGTTTAACCCCTTCCTCTCCCCAGAGCCTGGCGGGAGGGGGTCCGTGAGGGTGGGGGCATCCTCAGGGCACTATAGTGCCAGGAAAACTAGTATTTTTTCCTGGCACTATAGTGGTCCTTTAAATTGTTTGAGTACTTACTCTGGGAGGGCGCCATGGCAGTCCTGGCACGATAACCACTTCAAAGAATAGATAGCAATGTATTATTGGTCCTTATGGTTTAAGGCTTTTAGGCAGGAGAGACGATCTGCAAGCAGACTAAGCATAACCAGAGTCAAGCTGAGGTCAATGGGATTCAGAATTACACAGAAGTGAGAAACAGGCCAAAGTCAAGGAATACAGAAACCACAATAATCAAATAACACCACAGAGCCAAAACCAGAAAAACCAAAAAGCAATAAGAATGCATTCTTGGGTAAGCAAAGACCATGACAGGGCACATGAACCCTAGAAAGAATGGCTATTAGTTAGTGTCAGATTTGTAAGTTTGGAACTTCTATTACTGGTGTCGCAGGAATGACACCACCTGCTGCAGCTCTAAAATATGTGGCAACTCTCTGGCTATAAGGTGCTTCAAGTGTGGAATGGCAGGAGTCAGAAAGGACACCACGTGGAGCTCAGACAGGGCAGATCTGTGACAGCTATGTACAAGTGATATAATTTACTTTATCACTTGTACATGTCTCAGTGATTTTTTTATTTGTATATAATTTTTGTTGATACTTGACATATTGGTTAGCCTACATAACTGTTGCTGCTTTATACGTTTGCCAAAATATTCTGCCATGCTTTCCTGTAACTGAATAACAGGAAAATGTATTTTGCATGGTTTAAATCACACGTTGTTATTAATATTTTACAACACGCACCAAAGAATTACATGTGTTACTTCCATATATTGCATCATACATGTCTTGTATATAAGATATCACGTGTGTATGACTGACGTGTATAATACCTGGATGGTTTACATGTGTGGTTTTCATCTGTCAAGAAGCAAATCACACACATCTGGCTGATTTTATATGGATGTTATTTACCATCACACACATCTGACTGATTTACACGGATGTCATCTACCATATACACATCTGACTGATTTACACGGATCTTATTTACCATCACACATATCTAACTGATTTACACGGATGTCATCTACCATATCACACGTCTGGCTGATTTACACAGATGTCATCTACCAGATCATACATGTCTGGCTGATTTTCATAGATGTCATGTACCATATACCTGACTGATATACACGGATGTCACGTACCATATCATACCTCTGGATGATTTACACGGATGTCATGTACCATGTCACACATATCTGGCTGATTTTAACGGATTCCATATACCATATCACACACGCCTGGCTGATTTACAAGTATGTTGTGTACTATATCATACATCTGGATGATTTATACGGATGTCATGTACCATATCACACACGTTTTGCTGATTTATACGGATGCCTCTAGTATGTAAGCTCATTGAGCAGGGTCCTCAACCCCTCTGTTCTTGTGCCTCCATTTGTCTGGTTACAATTACATGTCTGTTAGTCCACCCATTGTACAGCGCTATGGAATTTTGCTTGCGCTATATACATAAAATAATAATAATGCCATGTACCAGATCAGACTATATGTGCATTTCCTGTATCATAAATATATCACTATTATTTGGAATGTCCATTATATTGATATAGCAAGTTTCCTAGCTATTGCTATTATAAAGAAATTATTCATGCATGGAAAGTAAACAATGCATTGAACACACTGATTTGATGTGATTCTGCTGTAGCTGTATATGAGGTGACTGACAGGTTTTGGCTATTGTACTGGTGATTATGGCAGTTGTGTTGTTGATTCCTGTATGATCTGGATGTATATGGGTACTTTTGGTAGTTTTATTGTGATTCTAACACGACTGCTAATGTTTTGGGATGATTGCGTCAGGCTCCGGCTACTTTTAGGGCTGCTTCTGGTAGTTGTAGGATGATTCTAGCAAGAGTTGTATCGCTTGGGGGTGATTCTAGCAGTTTCGGGGTGAATGTTTCAGACTAGCTGCTTCTGGTAATTTTAGAGTGATTGTAGCAGGATTTGTACTGCTTGGGTTGATTCTAGCAGTTTTGGGGTGAATGTGTAAGGCTTTGGCTACGTTGCGAACGCTGGAGGAAGTTGCAGTATTTTTTCTGACTAGTCCGTGTCCGTAAAATAATACGGGGAAGGGGGGGCAGGGACCCGTGACCGGGGGGCGAGGGCTGGCGTGGCAGGGATCCGTTACCGGGGAGCGAGGGCTGTAGTGGCAGGGACCCATTACCGGGGGGAGGGCTGGGACCCAGGGCTGGGGGGCAGGGACCCATTACCGGGGGGAGGGCAGGGACCCAGGCTGGGAGGCGGTCCGCGAGTTCCACTAGTAGGAAGAGCAGAGAGAGCAGTGCAAGCTCGGAGGGAGCATGGGGGGCACCCGGGGGCCCCGCAGGACATGAGGTCGCCCTGGGGCTGTCCGGGGCATGGCTCCTGGGGAAGACGCTGACATGAAGCCCCCCGAGTTGTCCGAGGGGCCCCGGAACGGCTATGTGAAGAGCTGCGTGACCCCCCTGAAGCCGGACCCCCCGCGAGGCACCCTGCGCACGCTGTGTCGGCTCCGCACCCCTGCCGGTTGCGCTGTGGGGGCTGCGGTCCTTGCCGTGCTGGGGAGCGGAGCGGGGTGGGCGCTGCTCAGGACCCCCCACTCCTTCTTGCTGGGCTTCTCCCACGCCCTGAGCCCCCTCTTCAGCTTGGGATGTGCTTTTTTCTTCCTGACCTGCTACCTAGCCCGCTCTCACAGGGGACCCGGTGGGCTGTGGCCCCTGGCCCTGCCCCTGTGCTGCTACTCTGGGGATCTGCTAGGGGCCCAGTTCCTGCCCCACGTGGTGGCCCGGCTCCTGGCTGTGCTGGGCTGTGTGGGACTCCTCACCCTCTACCAAGCTCTGCGGCTCAGACACAGTGTGCTGGTCCTGGGCTTCTCAAGCCTGGTCTGGCTACTGGCCATCACTAGCCTCAGCCCCCTGCCACAAGCCCTCAGAGCCCTTGGAGCGTGCCTAGTGGGACTGCTGGGCTCCTTGCTGGCCCTGGGCTTCACACACTTCTTTCAGATAAGGGAGGCCCACCCTAGGACCACCATGGTGGAGGACAAGGTGCCTGTGATCAGACCCAGGAGGAGGTCCAGCTGTGTGTCCCTGGGGGAGAGCTCGTCAACTTACTATGGCAGCGGCAAAATGTGCAGGAGACCTTCCCTGCCCTGTATCTCAAGGGAGCAGGTATGTTGGATGGGGTCTTCCTTTAATTTGGGGGGGGGGGAGGGCGGCAAGATAGAATTGATTGGGGTATGAGTAAAGACTCTGATGGATAGCTCTGGAGTCTGCTTGAAACAGGCAGGAAACTCCCTCTGGATACATTTTATTTCCCTTCTATCTGATAAAACAAAGTTTCCAGTGTCCTGGATGTGAAATCCCAAATAAGCTTTAGATCCTGGGGATAGGGAACTCTATTGATTAGGAAGCCCCCAATAGATGTACAGGATCTGGGCTGCACACTGTTTCCCCACCCTACCTTGCACTGTTGGGAGTCTTATACTTTCTACTTGTTTTTCTGTAATTTGCTTTGTTTTAAGTGCTTTACGGTGTGCAACTTTTACGATTTGTCAATAATTCATAATGTCTGATTATGTAGAATAGCATTGTACATGTAGTATATTTTATCTGTGTGTTTTTATATAATGTGTGCATGTTTTTATATATCTCTTGTTACACCTGAGTTACCAGCTGCACAGGAAAATTGTAAAAGGGGGAAAAAACACACACACAATTGTTTTTTATTCATTGAACATCAAGTTTTAGTAAAATGAAGCAGCAATAGCAGTTTTTCAGCCAGCTCAGTTGTGGTCACGGTGTTATTTTAGCAAAATTTTGCAATTCGATTTCCATTTACTATAATTTGCTGTTAAGTGAATACACCCCAGGTAAGCTAATGCACCATACCAAAGGATTGGGGCCAATTAACTGTGTAATGGCACATTTTAGGGTATAACAACCAAGCTGAGAAACCTGTTTTAATTGGGGGAAAAGTTCAAATTTTACTATGTCGGTCTAACATTTGCAATTTCTGATTTAGTGAATACGCCCCAGTGTTGTTATTGTAGAAAGTAAGTATATAGTCTGAGTATGGCGTCTGCAGGCGTTTGTTTATGTAACACACTTTATAATGGCTGTTTATCGGATCAAGTGTGAACACAGGGATAATAATTGCTTTGTTCAGTTACCCTTGATGTTTGCCTTATTCTCTCTTTATGTAGTCTTGAAGCCAGTTTTGAAATGTTTCAAAAATTGCTTTAAAAAAAAAACCCCACAAAAAAACAAGCGTTCTAGAGCTATTTTACTTTAAAATTTCTTTCAAGCAACATGACGTGTGCATGAGTGAATTACTGAGTAGAATGTGCTTCCCATTCTGTCATTCTCCACACTGGCCTGGATCTAGATTATTAGGGAACTGATTTGATTTCAGACCTGATACTAAAGAAGTTTTATAAGGACTGGACCATGCAGAACTGATTTCTATAAAAGTTTGTAAATATGGGAGTTAAAAAATTCTAGTAGACTCATGTCATTTTAAATCTGCCATTTTGTAGAGTTTGTTTTTGTAACTTGCATTCTGTATGCACACATTGCTTGTATAGTGGCCATTATATATATTTTTTAATACTTTTGATGCTCTGTCTAGGAAATGTTTGGATGTGCGTTCGTTTTTTTTGTTTAGTTTTGTCCTCCGTCTTTAATCTCTGCCTTAATTTAGGCTTTCTCCTTTATAATTTAACACGGGCGCATGTTTGCTAATCTGTGATCGGAATTCCCTGCAATGCAACATAAGTTAGAAACACATTATTTTAATAAATCTAAAGTGTATGTCATTTAAAATAACAGAATGGTTATACGGTGATTCCCACCAGGATCACTGCACTTCAGCATGTATTTCCAACCCTAAAAGGGTTAATTAGGAAATGTTATGTTTTCCTTTAACCCCTTAAGGACACATGACATGTGTGACATGTCATGATTCCCTTTTATTCCAGAAGTTTGGTCCTTAAGGGGTTAAAAGAAAGCAAGGGTTCAAATAGGCCCAAACTTTAGTTCTTCATCTTCCTCCCTATCATGGGGTGCTTTTTATTTAATATTTTAAATAAAGAATTTGTCAGGCAATGATTTTTTATTTTTTTTATATTGGAACAGTCTGGCGGTGCTGGTTTTGTTTTTTGTTTTTTTAAATTTGTCATTTCTGTTCTGGGAGTAAAGTGCTGTAGGCCCAGCCTGAGCTTATTGTAGGTTTGTCTGCTCTGAACCTGTTTTAGTGCTGGAGATTGCACTGTGCATGATTTATGTGTCGGACACATGACACTGTATCCTGCCCTCAGGGTTACCTTACTAGAGGTCAGGGGTCGCCTCTCGCCAGCTGGACTGTCTCCTGTTCTGGTGGTTTATGTATTTTAGTTTTTATACTTTTCTTTTTCTCATGTCTGATACGTTATTTGTAGTACATATAAATGTCACATCCATTGTGGTCTTTGATAGAGTATATGCAGCGCTTACAGATTTTAAAAAAAATACGTTTATTAATGGTAAAGTGCTGAGGTACAGACGGATTACTAATTGTGTAAACTAAATCCATAACCCCTAATTAACTTGTTCCAGACAAATGACCTGCCAGCACTGTCACATTATCCCATGGTTCTGGAGCGGTTAGGTTTTTTTTTATCTTGCAGTTTTATTTTATATCTCCTAAGCTGGATAAAAAGAAGTTTGCACTTTGAAGAAGTCCTGTTGGCCGCTGAGTCCTGGCTAATGGAAAAGCACTGTTTACTTATGATAAGAGAGCGTGAGGACCTGCATGCAGTGACAGGTGCAGCTCTGTTAATCGAGGTCTCCCCATGCCTGTGACTCCATTTCCCAAGATGCACAGCCATTAATGTGTTGGCCAGAGTTTTCTTGGGATGTTTATGTGACAAAATTATAGCACATTTCTCTCTCTGAATTTACCAAGTAGATTTGTCAAAGTGCAGAACCAACTGCTTGTTTTCTTTTTACTTGGGAATAGTTTTTAATCTTTAGCAAATACAAGAAAAATACAAAAATTTCAAGACATCCTTTTTAGAAAGGCCATAGTTTACAATCCACCAGTAACTGCTCAGTTCGATGGCATGCCAAACACTACCCCCGGGACTAAACTACACAGCTGCCATCATCCTTTTTGAGATGTAGTCTGGGTGTTTTTAGTCTAGCCTACTCGCTCTTTGGTTTTTCTGATGAATTCCTGTGAAATGTGGGCAAATTAAATTCCCAAAATAAAAATATTGTTATTGTGTTAACAGTCTGTGTACTGATCTGAAAAATGTTGATGAAAACTTGCAAGCAGTCAGTGTAACTGCTTGTGAGTTTGAGTAAGCTATAGGGTATCTTGCTCTATGATGGTCTTAAATCCAGTATGTATGTATGTATGTAGGTGCAATGCAATGCAATGCATAGGAGGGCAGACACTGTAGGAAGTGTAGGCTTTTCATCTTCCTAAATCCTCTACCAGACATTGTTTATCTAATTCTTCTTACATTTAGACCGAAATCAAAAGCCACACATAATATTCGTTATATTACTTGGATCTGATGCCTTTTGGTATTGGTGGTATGTATATGCTCCATTTCACCTGTTTTTTCAATTTTTATTTTCCTGTTCGATTTCCAGTTCACAAGTTAAAACTGCCTGCCTGTGGCTGGAATGTTTATTTTATAAATCTGAGCTTATTTAGCTTTTTTGAAATTTTATTTTTTAACTTAATCTTGCCACTTTTAAACTTTTTTGTTTTTAACTAGCTGACAGTTTATTCAACTTGTTTTCGACTACAGCATATATTAACCAGATGCTGGTTAAGTGATGGGGCCTGTAAGAAAACAGGTGGCTTAACTAGTCTAAAACCAGTTATTATTTGTAAACCGCCAACAGATTCTGCATCAGTGTATAATAGGTGGACTAACGAATAGGTAGTTGCAATAAGACAAACTGGACATACAGGAACAGAAGGTGCTGAGGACAAACAGTTCAACTGAGCTCCTGTTTACTAAAGCTTGCAATCTACAGAGTTAGTCTGGTTTTCAGGTCATGGTCAACAAGCTCCACGGTTGTCGAATCATTAATTTGGTTTAATTTCTGGCTACTTACGTGTTACCCTCAAACTAGACTGTAACAGATCTCGTTTTATTTCCAGATACAGGGGAGAGAGAGGAAGCCCTGCTCTAACGTTTACTAAATTCCTCCGTTACATTTTAATCTGCTGTCCTGCAATTTACATGTGTGACAGTTTCTGCAGCATATTTCTATTACCCTTTTCATTTGGGAGTTGGCTGTAAAGGAAGCCTTTCCTGATGCTTGATAAAATCAATTTCTCAATGGCTGGCTGAGAGTTACTACAACAAATATAGAGCTACATGTTGGCCGACCAAGATCTCTAGAAAAATCTATTTCATTACTCATTTTTAAAAAAAATGTTTTTTTTTTTTGTTTTTTTTTAATTTCTATTTGGGACAATAAAACCACTTGGATCCAAACCACAGTTATTAGCAATATCTGCATTTCTGACTTATTTATGAAGATTTTATTTCTTCCTTTATTTTTTGCACCAACTCTGCTGTGCAGGATTATAGTTTGTGCTGGATTTGTATCATGCTGCTAATTCTCTGGAAAAGCCAGAGTCTATGTACAAAGGTTCCAGAAAGTTCAAGTATGTTATTACAATGTAATTTGTCATCTTATTCAATGACTCCACTAACAGTCCAAAAAAAAAAATCCGAATTCATCTGCAGAGTGTGGCCTCGAACCCTGTACTTTTTCTGTTCCTGAGACTCTTAGTCTGTGTAGATTAACCAGCGACAGATTTTGATATATGCCAGTCCTTTTTTGTTTTTATCAGTTCAGACAATCCTACAGTAACATATCTAGATATGTATTTGTAGCTTCGCAGGATGTGCTGCAGTGACTTAAGCTCTCTGTATTGCACTTTATTTTAAAAAAAAAATTGTCTCAACTATTTCACGATTTATTAGTGACAGGAAACACTGTTTAGATACATGGCTCTGTACTACCAATGAGTGTAAAATATATATAATTTTTTTTGTCATTGTAGTTATGGTTCTGTTTTCCTTCCCTTTATGTCTCTGGATTTTCCTGTTACCATTTCTCCATCCAGTCGTGTTTAATTTGGGAGATAAGGTTTTCACGTG